CCGGACATGTAGAGAAAATGCTGCACCTTAGGATAAGCTGCATGTTTGCGCGCTTTTCCAACGGCGTTGATGAAGCGGCAACACTCTTGCATATACATGCCCGGTTGGCACCGATGATGCATGCGCCTCACCAAAGAAATCTCTCTCGAAACACTGCACGCTAAGCGGCTCCCCGTTTTTTAGTGCAGCTGCCAAGGCAGCGGCGGCGGCAGCGTGCGTCAGCCTTTGTACTCCACGTCATCATATATGTCCATAAACAACGTGTTTGCCCTCTGTTGAAAAATGTGTCTATATGGGAACGCAGATGACGTGTTTTCGGTCTGATGACCTCTCAGTAACGGGACTAAGAATCGACACAGGCCGTGCATGCGTCGCCGATGTTTGCCGACTTACATGGCGATCGATCATTTCACGCTCCTTTGTCTCTGTCGGCGCGCTGAGCGAACCGTAACAAATTGCACCTGCCAGCAACGGCGAGGTCATCTCTTCTTGCTTATCCTCTTCCACTGGGAGGGCAACACTGTCGTCACGGATGGCGCTTTCGAAGTGAATGCTATAGATTCCACGTTTGGTATCCGTCGGTTTTGGTTTCGCCTGCTAAATTAGCCAGATTATCATCGCTCCGCGGTGATCACCTGTGGCCACCTTTCGAAAATTTAAATGTAGCTGTGGAGTATATTCGCAGGAAGGACTTGAATTCGTCCATTGGGTTCGATCGGCTATATATTTCCACTGGCTAAAAAAGTTAATTGTTCTAATTTGTATAACTACTGCTGTAATATCAAGTGCAGAGCACTTTATTAGGGGCCCGGGCTGGCGAATGCTGTCGTCACTAGGCGTACTGCAGGCAAACGCGTGCATAAAAATTAAAGAAAAAGAAAAGAAACGAGTGAGTAATAGAGAGAGAGAGAAAAAATCCGATGAAAAATGAGTATAAAGAAAGAGAAAAAATAAAAAAAACAAGAACAAGGCTACGCAAATCCGCACCAAGTCCGCCGCGGTGGATCAGTGGCTGCAAAGCCCTCGGCTGCTGACCTTAAGGTCGCGTGTTCGAACCGGCCACGGCATTTCGGTGAAGGTGAAATCGTAGAGTCATGTTAAGGAACACCGGATGGTTCCGGAGCCCTCCACGCGTCTCTCATAATCGTATCGGGGTTGCGGGACGTGAAACCCATGTATTATTATCATCAGCTCCGCACTTATTCGGGCTTGGCATCCCTAACGCTCTTTGGCATCTTGGCATCCCTAACGTATTGGCGCTCTTTGGCCATAACGTGGGCCCTTGCGCCATAGAAACACTATATATCATCATCATCCTAACGCGAAGGCTGCGTTTTTTCTCCTCTCTTCTGTCTGCAATTCGCATATAGCGTGTTGTCCCTCTCCGACCCGCGGGCGCCGTGCACTGATGTCATTGCTCGTGAATATTGCTTTCGCGAAGCCCGCGGCTCGTGTAGTAAATAATATATTACGCGAATCCGCCAGTGATGGTGTCTCACCCCCGAAGTGAGCCTCCGTGTGTGCGGCTGCTAAGTGCGTTGGGACGACGAAAAAAATGGCGTATATACGAAAAGGATGTTGTTGGTTGTTGTTGTTGTTGTTGTTGTTGTTGTTGTTGTTCTCCTATTGTCAGTGGCGCATACCCACTGTGGGGAATTGGCCAAGAATCGAGTGGTTTCAAAATTTACTGTTCAGATTTGGAATGATGAAGGTTGGAACAGAAAGATTACCGATAGCCTAGGAAAGTGTGGTGCTTAATGTAATGCATACAAATATTTACATAAAAGAATTTATTCTTAGAATAGAGCAATAATCTGATTTTATACGTATATAATTATGTGGACCTGTTAGGATAGTGAAACTGGTTAATTAGTCAACCTATTAGTTTCATCAATATAGTCCCGGACCGCCGCGCATACTGTCGCGTTAGAGAAACCAGAAATGGAAGCTCCAAAAGACAAAATGACAGGCAGAGATAAGTCCATACCAATACCACGTAAAGGTATTTCTAATAGGGTTTTTCGTAATGTGTTAAACCGCCTGCAGGTCAAAAAGAAATGGTCTATTGCTTCCAGTTCATCACAGAATGCACACAGTGGCGAAGGTGCCTGAGCAGACCTGTGTTTATAGAAATTTACATTTGGTACCCGGCAACGTCAGGCGGGTATCCTAGAAAAGAAAAAAAAAACATTTGCATTGGGTTCGATCGGCTATTTCCACTGGCTAAAAAAGTTAATTGTTCTAATTTATATAACTACTGCTGTAATTAATGTTTGTGCGCGTTTGAAGGTGCCTTATTTCTGTGAATTTCAATTTATATTGGACACATTTCTCGAAACACCCTGCATATAGCATAGAAGTCTTCTTCTTCTTCTTCTTCTTCTTCTTCTTCTTCTTCTTCTTCTTCTTCTTCTTCTTCTTCTTCTTCTTCTTCTTCTTCTTCTTCTTGATGATGATGATATCAAGTGCAGAGCACTTTATTAGGGGCCCGGGCTGGCGAATGCTGTCGTCACTAGGCGTACTGCAGGCAAACGCGTGCATAAAAATTGAAAAAAAAGAAAGAAACGAGTGAGTAATAGAGAGAGAGTAAAAAATACGATGAAAAATGAGTATAAAGAAAGAGAAAAAATAAAAAAAACAAGAACAAGGCTACGCAAATCCGCACCAAGTCCGCCGCGGTGGATCAGTGGCTGCAAAGCCCTCGGCTGCTGACCTTAAGGTCGCGTGTTCGAACCGGCCACGGCATTTCGGTGAAGGTGAAATCGTAGAGGCATGTTAAGGAACACCGGATGGTTTCCGGAGCCCTCCACGGCGTCTCTCATAATCGTATCGTGGTTTCGGGACGTGAAACCCCAGGTATTATTATCATCAGCTCCGCACTTTATTCGGGCTTGGCATCCCTAACGCTCTTTGGCATCTTGGCATCCCTAACGTATTGGCGCTCTTTGGCCATAACGTGGCCCTTGCGCCAAGAAACACTATATATCATCATCATCCCTAACGCGAAGCTGCGTTTTTTTCTCCTCTCTTCTGTCTGCAATTCGCATATAGCGTGTTGTCCCTCTCCGACCCGCGGGCGCCGTGCACTGATGTCATTGCTCGTGAATATTGCTTTCGCGAAGCCCGCGGCTCGTGTAGTAAATAATATATTACGCGAATCCGCCAGTGATGGTGTCTCACCCCCGAAGTGAGCCTCCGTGTGTGCGGCTGCTAAGTGCGTTGGGACGACGAAAAAAATGGCGTATATACGAAAAGGATGTTGTTGTTTGTTGTTGTTGTTGTTGTTGTTGTTGTTGTTGTTGTTGTTCTCCTATTGTTCAGTGGCGCATACCCACTGTGGGGAATGGCCACGAATCGAGCTGGTTTCAAAATTTACTGTTCCGATTTGGAATGATGAAGTTGAACAGAAAGATTACCGATAGCCTAGGAAAGTGTGGTGCTCCTAATGTAATGCATACAAATATTTACATAAAAGAATTTATTCTTAGAATAGAGCAATAATCTGATTTTATACGTATATAAATATATGGACCTGTTAGGATAGTGAAACTGGTTAGTTAGTCAACTATTAGTTTCATCAATATAGTCCCGGACCCGCCGCGCATACTGTCGCGTTAGAGAAACCAGAAATGGAAGCTCCAAAAGACAAAATGACAGGCAGAGATAAGTCCATACAATACCACGTAAAGGTATTTCTAATAGGGTTTTTCGTAATGTGTTTAAACCGCCTGCAGGCAAAAAGAAATGGTCTATTGCTTTCCAGTTCATCACAGAATGCACACAGTGGCGAAGGTGCCTGAGCAGACCTGTGTTTATAGAAATTTACATTTGGTACCCGGCAACGTCAGGCGGGTATCCTAGAAAAGAAAAAAAAAAACCTTTCGCATGTGTAATCCGCAGGGTTATTATAAGCACGGGTTCTATGAACGCTATAACGGCAATAAATAAATAATAACTAAATAAATAATAAATAAATAAATAATAAATAAATAAATAAATAAATAAATCGCGTGTGTGGTGTGCGACGGAAAGTCTCCGGCAGCCTGTCGACTTCCACTTTCTTTGTGTGTGTGGTGTGTGAGGGGGGGGGGGGGGTATTATCATCGCGTTAACATCTTAAAAAAAAAACATGCTTGTTATCGTGTTCGCCGAACCGCGCGAGTTTCGTTTCGCAACTGTGTGCGTGTGTGTATTTTTCGGGTCATTCGGTTCAGTTTGCTTCGAGCCATCGTCAGTCATCGATCTCTCTTTATTGACGTTATATTTCTAGCAGTAGGCTTGGGGATGGGGGGCCGCGTTATCGTTGTTTACTCGTACTTGGTGTCGACGGCGTCTACCTGCATGCAGGTAGAAAACACCGTGCGGTGTTACGGCACACCTGTCTCTATATGCGACATTTAGCGAAGCCGCACGATTAGATCCAACGTTCGTAGAAGATGGTCTGTAAATTATTATTTGCGTGGCCATGGCGGGGTGGTGGTTATTCCTTTTTGCAGCGAAAATTTCGAAGTCTGCATGCGTATGCATATAAGCACGCATGAATGCATATCCCCCCCCCCCCGAACAAATATTTTTGGGAACTGCGGTCCTGGTTAGTTGTCATGCTAACGGGACATGTGCAGTTTTGTGGGAGGCATATATGTTGCGCCTCTCACATCAAGGTAATCAAATGACAAGAAGAGGAAGATCGCTTTCAACTTCGAGTGGCCTTAATCACGTACGTACCTTCTACTTATGCTTGATATACCGTCAGATTCGTGGACTCTCCCGTTTAGTAGTGTTCATCTCGTCGCGCAATCGTCATCATCTTCTTTGCTTCTGCTTGTGCCACAACATGCCCGTAGCGGGTCGAGCCATGCACCTTGGATCAGCCGGTCGACCAATCTTGGAGTGTCGGCTTGGGCCGACGGCGGCGCAGATCGTCCATCCCTTCTGCGTTAGCGTCTCCACAACCGCCAAGAAAAAAACTTCGCCCAGCGACGAGCCGTTGAGGTGTTCTCACCGCGAGGATGTTCGTTCTGGACTGGCTGGGCGACGTCCTGTCCCGGCTGGGCATCTGGCAGAAGGGCGGCAAGATCCTCTTCCTGGGCCTGGACAACGCGGGCAAGACGACGCTGCTGCACCGGCTGAGCGCCGACCGCATGGCCCAGCACGTGCCCACGCTGCACCCGACTTCGCAGGAGCTGCGCGTGGGCAACGCCCGCTTCACCACGTTCGACCTGGGCGGACACTCGCAGGCGCGCCGCGTCTGGCGCGACTACTTCCCCGCAGTGGACGCCGTCGTGTTCCTGGTGGACGCGCACGACCGCGACCGGTTCGCCGAGTCGAGCGCCGAGCTGGAAGCCCTGCTGGCCGACGAGCAGCTCGCCGGCTGTCCCGTGCTCGTGCTGGCCAACAAGATCGACAAGCCGGGAGCCGCGAGCGAGGACGAGGTGCTCGACGCGTTCCGCCTCAAGGGCCAGGTCACCGGCAAGGGCGTCGTGCCCCGGGACGAGCTCGGGGAAGTCAGGCCGCTCGAGACGTTCATGTGCAGCGTGCTCCGGAGGCAGGGGTACGGCGACGGCTTCCGATGGCTCGCGCAGTACATCTGAGGTCGCGTGCGGCAGCTGTGCCCAGCGCCGGGGCGGTGTAAGGAACCGAAGGAGACGGGACGTCGAAGAATTGCGCTTTTGGGTCATTGCAGGCGTTCCGTCTTTGAGAAGTGGCGTGTGCGGCACAAAACGGAAAGAAGGCCGCATCAACTTTGTGTACACTCTATTTTTTTATTGACTCAAAGGGACGTTTCTGTGAAGATTGGACTTCACCGGGTAATAAGACGCGCAACATGCTTCCATGTCTTCTTCTTTCCCTGTCCCTGTTTATTTATCTATTTTATTAATGGCAGTAATTGTTAGGCTTTTCGCCCCAAAATGACGATATGATTACGAGGGACGGTGTGGTGTAGGTATCCAAATTTTGAGCATGTGGGGTTCCTTAACGTATACAGTGCAATTTTTTATGAAAGGGAACACGGGAGCGCGTGGCCTGCGCGCTCCGAGCCACAGCCTCTTTCCGCGTCATCTCGAGGCGAGCAAAACAAGCCGACATTGATGATGTGGAACTGCTGGCAAGATTGCAACCCCCTCCCCCTTTAAAGTGATTACCAGCCTCTTGCGTAATTGCCTTGAAGGGGAAGAGGGTTGCACTCTTGCCACTGGTTCCATATCAGTAATAAGCGGTCGTTTTGCTCGCCTCGAGACGGCGCGGAAGGATGCTGTGTGTCTGCTATCGCTCCCGCTTGAAGGCGCTGCGAACAGCCGCAGGAGCGCGCAGGCCACGCGCTCCCGTGTTCCCTTTCATAAGAATTTGCACTGTACGTACACATCAAATCGAGGCACACTGGCCTCGACCGAGCGTTTCGCCCGCGTCGAAGTGCGGTCGCCGCGGCCCGGGATTCGATCCCGCGACCTTCAGGTATCTATAGTCGAGCACCCTTAACATGGACCACCGCGACGGTTCTTCGTTTATTGCTTTCATTTCACGCTTCTTGCACACTTTCCACAACAATTATAAGAGCGAGTTAGTATACAGCCACGTCTGCGTACAGAGCACGTGAGGAGCCGGTGTCGCGGGGCGAAACCCCGAGGCAGTTTCGGGCTCTGAAGTGCTGTATCGGAAGCATGTTCTGTGTCAGGCTGACCACGTCAGGGCCCGAAAGTGCCTCGAGGTTTTTCGCCCCGCGACACCGGCTCCTCACGTGCTCTGTACACAGACGTGACCGCGGCTGTATACGTGTATTGCTTCCCTTGTCGGCCCTTTGCCATGCCAAGAAAAAAAAAAGACGAAGTCCTCCATCTTTTATTTTTTATTTGTTTCCTGCGTCCTTCGATACATGGTCAACCTAAAGGGCTGATTGTTTAACCGCCCGCTTTTCAGTTCAAACAACGCGTATGTGCGCTCGCTAAAACCACGCCCAGGCGGCGACCGGCCGTGCGAAATGCCAAGTCTTCCTTTTCTTGCATATGCATCGCGCCTCGTCGTCGCCTTGAAGGCTGTACAGGTAATCCGCTCGTAGCTTATTATTCGAACGGACACGCTGGTCGCAAGACGCCGCCGTTCGAGAGATTGCCACTCGCGGCGTAAATGTTTTTTTCCTTGGGCGCGGTCTCTTGTGGCGCGTGCTTAAAATATACTCGTGGAGGGTTTTAAGAAGCTATAGCGTCGAATTACCGTGATTAGTTGTCCTGATTGATTGATATGTTGTGTTTAACGTCCCAAAACCAGCTTACTTTTTTCAATTTTCAAAAACTTGTTTTATTGTTTTCTTGTACAATTAAAACACAAGAAACAAAAGGATGTTGGGGCTAAAGGCATATAGCCTGACAGAGGACCCAACATCCTTGTACACTGTTCGTACATAAAAAAAAATAAAAATAAAAGCAGCTTTCGCGGCATCCAGACCTTCATGAACAAAAGAAGCAACAGAGCAAAGAATAGCTGACAGAAATATCATGTTGCATTGAATCTGACTGATTATACAGATCTTGTAACATACTTACTACATAACAATACCTAAATAACAATCACTCAGGAAGGAATCAGACTAGAACATTAGAGACATGTGATACGTACCATTATATTTTATAGTTAATAAAATACATGCAGTACAAGATTTCCATCGCCAGACTACTACCATTGCTAACATCAGTATTTCTTTAGGATCCATCAAAAAGTATAGTTTCCTGCATTAGCACTTCTTTAACTTGTACCTTAAATGCTTTTTTCTGTACAGTCAAAATTAAGCTTATGTTCTAATTTGTTTAATATGCAAGTCTTTTGATGGGTAAAAGTTTGTTTACCATAACTTGTCCTTGTTCGTTGTGGACGGCGTAAGATTTGGCGGATTATGACTATGGGAGCCGCCGCAGTGGCGGGCTCCGGAAATTTCGACCCCCCAGTGTGGTTCTTTAACGTGCAGCTAAATCTAAGCACACGCTTATTGAGCATTTTCCGCCCCCATCGAAGATGCTGCCGCCGGGATTCGATCCCGCAACCCGTAGGTCAGCGGCCGAGTGCCCTATAGCCACTATAGACCACCGTGGTGGGTGTGTTGTTAAAACGAATTTACGTTTTAGTGTGGAAAAAAAAGAGAGAAAAAAGACAGCAACTTTTCGTTGCTGCTTCACGGGTGTCGCATTCAGTTCGCTTTGCGTTCTTGGGGGACGACCAGCTACAACGTGCTGGCCTGTCACTCAGCCTGCATACTTGAGGCAACGTATGGAGTCTAGCGGTATATGACTCCACTCGTAAGGAGGGGCACGTGACGTCACGCGTGGTGTCTTTCAACGCGCGCGACATTTCTTCTCTTTCCGTTTTGTGTACAGTTTCTTCGGGGAGACTTTGTTTGCTTCGCGACGGTTCGCTAATTTGTTCCTGCTTGTGCCTATATATATAGTACACTATACTCACACACTGGCGCATTTCCCCAGACTCGTTGGCACGAGGTTCTTACGGTTTCGTCAGCGCGCACTCCTTGTGAACGACTTGCCGTTTTTCTTCGTGACAGCTCTTTCTTGTGTTTGTCGGCAACGGAAGAAGCAAAATGAAACGGTTCGGTGGTATACCAGCAGCGTGGAATGAAAAGCGCATTGGCTCTGCATCGCGTGGTCCGCCACGACAGTGTGGCGATTAAAGAGACCATAAAGAGCAAAACGCTTTTTTTTTTTGCCGCGTGTTAATAAGGTACAATTTCACTATCCCGAAAACAGCACTGGTAAGCGAGGAAGACACGCGCAAGGAAACTGCGAATGGAGACGCCACCTTAAGATTCCAGCACCGGATCAATTTTTCAAGGCGTGTACTGGGTCCTATACGTACATTCTAATCGATCAAATCGAAGTGACGTTGTCAGCGCACGTTAAAGAAACCCAGGTGGTCAGAATGTCCCGTCCCCTCCAGTATAGTGGTGTCCCTCATAATCGTGCCATGGTTTTGGAACGTAAAATCGCGGACATTTATTATGATCAACTCTTGATTGCGATTCGCAGCGCACGTATTGAAGGAAGTCGCTATATGCAATCGACAACCTCAAATGAATTGCACCGGCACTGAATGCGTGTGCCTGCACTTGATCAAATATATACGGAGTGGTTGTTTTCGTGTCGAGTTTGTTTCATTTGGTAAATTCGCTGTAATGTTCTTGCATTTTTTTGTATTGTTACAAAGATGTTCTGATGCGTGCTTTATGCACAGCTGGTCGTGTCAATTAATACCGATGTGATTACGTCCGTGTGATGCTCTTTTTTCTTTCCCTGATAAATTTTTATGCCCATTCCTGTTTAAGGCCCGGTAAACAGGTCAGCAGTATACGTAATAAATAAATAAATAAATAAATAAATAAATAAATAAATAAATAAATAAATAAATAAATAAATAAATAAAAACTGCGTGCGCCAGCGCAGCCGAACAGCTGCAGGTTCTCTTGTTCAACGACGAGTTAATACTGCATAGCTGTTTGTTGCATTACATGCTTGTCCACTGCTTCAAACATAAAAGGTCCTTTAACCGCATGCTTCGACGACTGGATGGTGAATTTCATTTCGTCTGAGCTATTTCAACGCCTTTACATTTTGGACTCCCGATTATACTCTTAATTACATTCATCTACTTCGTAATGAATAACTCATCATCATCATTCGTGAATGAATGACTGCTTCTCAGTTACTCTTAGTAATTTTTTTATTTCACATTCTAGTGCTTCTTTAGTGGACCTCAGGGGTCTTGGGCGATGTCGTCGACTTTTTGTACCGTTTGGGAATTCGCCTTTGATTTCACGATGCCCGAAGCATACGCGCTCTTCCCCTAGCGGGAAAGTCGCACAGCGTGTACTGATCTCGGAGGCCATGCTCAGCCACTAGCAAAACGCTACCCCAAAACGGCAGAGGGCAGCACAGAAAAATGGGAAAGGTGGATTGACGCTGACAGTTTTTTTTTTTTTTTGCATTTTGTGGGGCATACAATGTTTTCGCCCTTCGAAGTGTTCACTTCGGCAGACCTCCAGCCCCCCCCCCCCTTTTTTTTTTCTTGGGGGGCGGTATATAACTTTGCCAGTTGAGGCTGACTGCTTAACGTACTGCTCTTTCTCTCTCCCAATCTCAACGAAGCAGCACACGAGGCGGCGCGAGAACTCTCCAACCGCGCCTCCCCGGGGATGCGTTCTACCGGTGAAGGGGATAACCGGGAAATTCTTACAACATATAACGAGCTCACTAAACATTTCTACCTGTCTAGAAGGATTTTCCCTCCACCTCACAAAAATCTAACCCAGCCCCAAGCACTTACATTAAGGCTTTTGGAAACGCTGATGTACCCTACTTTAAAAATGTTACACATCATGTACCCTGACCTATACCCAAGTAATCTTTGTCCACATTGTGGGGAAATAGCTTCATTAGAACACATGCTCTGGCAGTGCACCAAATTCACTCATTTATCGCACATCACCTCTGCCAGATGGGAGGCGGCAATCCGCAGCTCGTCCTTGGCAGATCAGCTCTGGGCTGTCCACCAAGCCCGCGAGGCGGCTGAGGAGCTTGGCATCTCAGTCCCCACG